GGCCAATATAATTTCATAAGAGCATACATATATATAGCTAAAAGTTACTTGACAAACAGCAAAGCCAGACAGGCGATACCTTAAGTCGAGTTGTTGGCCAAGATGGATAAAGGCTCTTCCAGATAGTAACCCAACATACTACTGGATAAATGAACAGCAGACCCCAATTCTATCCAAAGGAATACTGACAATTGATTTGCATGAACAGCTGATCCTCCTGGAACAGGGACCTCTGGCTGACCAGATTTACCAGAAGGGCAGATAGGGGGGAATAGATGGGGGTCCTGACAGCACAGTGGACAGTGGCAGGGATGGCAGAGTATGGAGGCTCTAGTGGCAGAGGAAGGCTGTCTATCTGATGGGTTTATATTCATGCTCAGATGCCAAGGAACTCAGAAAGTAAGTGATTGTGACCAGTAATAGTCATATATATGGAGATTAGAAATGCATGTGAAAACGTCTCAATGTCAATTGCCTTAAAATGAATTTTTCTGTATGAAACTGTGCTTTTTAATAATGAAATGGAGATCTTTTTTAAAGGTTAAAACCTCATTTAATTTTATGTCTTACAGAGTTTATAATGAGTAAAAGATTGTATAAGCATAATAATTCATCTGTAAACCTAAAAATGTACAGCCAATTTTGAAAGAGATGTACCCTAGCTCAGAAAAATGTTATTGAATAGGTTAATGCTGTTGTAATAAAATGCTTCTTCTAATTAAAAAAAAATGGTGACAGCATTCCCTCTGGTTTTTCACACCACCAAAACTTTATTTAACTCTCATCTCTATCTCCTTTCTAAGCTCTCTCCTCCATCCCCAGTTAATGTACCCCTATTTAACCCTTTATAATAGCTGTCTCCTATTAACCTCCCTCTCTTGAATGAGTTCCTTCTTTACCATTATACCCATAGTTCCTTCTATGTCTGTCCATCCTCTGTTTCCAATGGGGGCAAAACATTTCCCCATTGGAGGCATTTGTTTCCTACTATACCCCGTCTCTCAGGGTCTTTCTTTTCCTTTACCTCCATGGTTCCTTTCCATTTTCTTGGCTTCTATGATCACATCAGGATATATACTCATATATAAGGAATTGTTGTGATGGTCCACAAATGAGGGAGAGCATATTTTGCTTGTTTTTCTGTGTTATTTCACTTAGTATGACATTTTCTGTTTCCAACCATTTATCTGCAGATTTCATGAATTTGTCTTTCCTTACCCCTGAGTAGAACCCCATTGTAAATGTACATTTTTATTATCCATTTGATGCTTGAGGGGCATGTAAGTTATTTAAATTTCTTAGCTATTGTGAAAAGAGCAGCAACAAAAAATGAATGTACAAGTATCTGTCTTATGGATATATGCCAAGGAGTGTTAGAGCTGGATCACATTATAGATTCATTTTTAGTTTGTTATGAGTTCTGCACACTGCTTTTCATAGAAGTTGCACAGGTTTCCCATCCAACCAGCAGTGAATGAGTGCTCTCCTTCTCTACATCTTCAGCAGCATTTGGTGTTTTTTGTTCTCTTGATCTTAGCCACTTTTGGGTAAGATGAAATCTTAATGTGGTTTCGATTGTGATTCCTCTAATTACTCAGCATGTTGAGCACTTTGTAGGGTGTTTCTTAGCCATTTATTTTTCTTTATTTGAGAAATCTATGCTCATGTCATTAGCCAATCTTTTCATTGGGTCATTTATCTCATTTCTTGGGGGTGGGGGGGGTGATCTTTGCATATTATGGATAGCAACCCTCTGTTAGATGTGTAGTAGGTGAAACTTTTTTCACAATCTTCACTTTATTGGTTGTTTCTTTTGTTGTTCAGAAGCTTTTTTTAGTTTAATGAGGTCTTACTTGTTGATTCTTGATCTTAATTCCCGAGCAATGGATGTCCAATTTAGAAAGACCTTTCCTACACCTATATCTTGTAGGGTACTTCCCAGGATTTCTTCTAGCAATTTCAGAATTTCAGGTTTCATATTAGGTCTTTGATTGATTTGATGTTGACGTTTGTGTAGGGTGAATGCTTAGGACACATTTTCATTCTTCTACAGATGGAGACCCAGTTTTGCCAGCACCATTTGTTGAAGATGCTGTCTTTCCTCCACTGAGTGTTCTTGGCAACTTTATCAAATATCAGGTGGCTAAAATTGCATGTATTCCTGTTTTTGGCTTCTATTATGTTCCATTGATATAAGTGGCTCTTTTTTCTTGCCAGTATCACGCTGTTTTATGATTACATCTCTAAAATGTGCGTTGAGTCTGGTATGGTGATCCACACAGTCTTGATCTTTTTGTTTAATGTTGCTTTGGCTACCTGGAGACTTTTCTGATTCTATATGAAATTTAGGATGGTCTTTTTCTAGCTCTGTGAAGAATGTCATGGAGATTTTGATTGGCATTACATTGAATCTATAGATTGATTTTACTAGAATTGTTGTTTTCACAATATTGATTCTACCAATCCATGAATAAGGGAGTTCCTTCCATCTCATGGTGTTTTCCTCCATCTCTTTCTTCAAAGATTTAAAATTTTCATTGTAGAAATCTTTAATGTCTGATTAGGTTTATTCCAACATATTTTATTTATGAGATTATTTTCAATGGGAGGGTTTCCATGAATGATTTCTCTGATTGCTTCTTTTTTTAAGTTATTTTGTATCCCGACACTTTGCTGAAAGTAATGGTCATTTCTAATAGTTTTCTGGTGGAAATTTTTGGGATTTCTTATGTATAATAGCATATCATATTCAAATATGGATAATTTGACCTCTTCTTTTCCAAATAGTAATTCTTTAACTCATTCATTTGTATTATTACTCTAGTCCAGAGATCTGAGGCAGGAAGAGCAGGAACCTACGTGGGCCCAAGGCAGAGTGGCAGGCAGGTATCTGTCAGGAAGATCAGGAAGAGGGTCAAAGGGCAAGGCAGGAGTGGGGACAGCCTGGGGAGGGTCTAGCAAATTATGTAGAATAAGAGTGGGCCCAGAACCTGGAGAATGCAGCTAGTCTGGGTGCTAGGGCTCAGGACACGGTGAGCAGGATCTGGGCTACAAGACTGGTCCAGAGATATGAAGAGGGAAATGCAGGTGCAAGCCTAGGCTAGAAGGAAGACAAGCAGTGGGAGAGAGAATGGAGTTACTTGGGTGCAGGCAAATCAAGGTGAAGTGGTCTGGGTCTGACTTACCAGGTAGTAGGCAGAGTTGTGGCAGACATATGGAGGCCAAGGGCAAGGCAGGAATGGTGAGTCTGTGGATTGTATAACAAACTAAGCTGTTGAAGATCTTGCCAATGCCATTGACCTGATATTCTTCTTTTTCATCTATGCCTATGGTGCTTAGATTTGGTATTTTCATTGTGTCCCATTTCCCAAATATTCTATTCCTGTGTTTTAACATTTTTTCATATTCTCTGCTTGAGCAGTCCAACCCTTCAGCTTTGTCATCTATTCTTGATGTTTGTTTTCCATTTCATTTTTCTGCCTGTGAGGCCCATCTCCTGTCATTTCAAATTTTCTTGTTCAGATTTTCAAATCCATCTTGTTGCCCAAGTTCTCTTAGGGTCCCTTGCTCCTGGCACTATTAGATAAACCATGTAGCACATCTTTATCTGAATTTTTCATAGTTTATATCCTGGGTAGGGCAAATAGAGTAACTTACAAAGGTGAACACCTAGTGCCCCACAAAAGGTGAACACCCAGCACCTTGTTCTGCTCTGTGGCTCAGTGGCTCGCCATTCCAGATTGCTTCAGTGCCCCACCCACAGTCTCTGTTAGCTTTCACCCATGCCCATGGTCTTGCCCTAGGTCAGTAAATGCCCCCTCTCTCATCTATACCAGTGAGACAGTGGGGCCATTTCTTCCCTGCCATCCCTGCAAAGATGGTTCCAACACTCCTCCTTCTGTGGCTAACTCTCCACAGCCAATTCTCTGTACCGAGCCCTGCCACTGGTCAACTCACACCCCTCAGAGGAACAAGGGACACACATCTTCATTTCAGCTTGAGTTTTCTTCAATATTTCTCTTTTGCAAATTCACTATTCAAGTAGTGAATTGTCCTTGTCTTTTTATTCAGCCATATATTTGTATTTTCTTGAGCTTTATCAGGAGTTTGTTCCTATCCTCTTTGAGTTCTTTGAGCTGTTTGTTCATGTTTTTGTTAAAGTTGTTGAATTATTTGATTATATTTATGATTTTTTTAATGCAGCCTGGGATTCCTATGAGCAGTTGTCATTGTAGTACACTTCTGTAGGTCTGGGGGTCTCTGTAGTGGCACATTATCTTGATTTTTCTTATTATTTGTATTTTTTAGTTGTGATCTGGGCATGTGAATTTCTTTTCTTTGTTGTGTATCTGGCATGAAATTCTAGCTGGCCTTTCTTTAATTGTAGTTTGGTTGCTTTTTATATTGTTGATATAGTTCAGTTGCTTTCTCATCTAGTATGAATATTTAGCTGTCCTGTGCTTCAGTTTTTCTCTTTTCTTTTTTTATTGATGTTGAAGTATGTTTCCAAGTTGACTAGCTAAGAACTCATCAGGTGTACAAAGAGAGCTGGGTTCAATTTAAAACTATGGAGATCCAGTGGCCAGGTTGTGTCAGGGTAATCCACAGTTCTCAGGCAAGAGGAGGGGGAACTAGGCCCAAGATGGGGATGGGGAGAGTGTGGTGAGTGTTTAACTAGCTAAACACAATAAATGTGAGCCCCAGAACATGGGAATTGGCCTATGGGGTTAATCCAGCAGTATCAGGCCAGAATAGCAGGAGGGATCCGAGGCCCAATGATGGGCGGAGGCTCTGGATAGTGTGGGAAGGGTCTAACTAGCTAAGCAAAGTAGATATAAGCTCCGGAGCAGCTAGAATGTACCTTGTCTGGGTGTAGGGGGATCAAAACACATTGGGCAGTATCTGACTTAACAGTCTAGTCCAGAGGTCTTAGGTGGGGTAAGAAGGTGGGGCCCTAGGCCCAAGAATGGATGGGGACAGTGTGGAAAGGGTCTAACTATCTAAGCAGAATAAGTGTGATCCCTGGAGCTGGGAGAATGGAGCTGGTCCCAGAATATTGGGATCAAGACCCAGTGGGCAGGTTCTGGATTATGAGGGAAGTCTGGAGGTTTCAGGAGAGATGATCAAGAGGGTCCTCATCTCAAGAAGGTGGTCTGGACCATATGCTCAGAGTAGATGTGATGCCTAGATCAGGGAGCTTAATATAATCTTTGCTTTAAAACTATAACTTTTTAACAATTCACACTTAAAGGTATTCATCATTGAAGGTGAAACAATGCAAATCCACCTTATTCAAGTTCCAATTGAAGCCTTAGCTTATAGTACTTTCAGCTCATGCCCCAAGTAGTAGAAGCTTATCCTAGAATCTGATCTTGCTGAGATATCAACAAGGCAGATCTTCAGGAGATAGAGCCACTTAGGAAGAAACTCCTGAATCATATTATCTATTAGTTACATTACAATCCAGGTTTAATTAATTATTTATGTCTTCCAAATTTGGTACAACATTGGTGCAACAGAAATATTATAGTAACATAAAACCAAACTGCAGTTTGAAGACACCTGCATTTCATTTTAGTTATTTTAAAATATATTTAAGTTTTTAATTGTGTGTGTGTGTGTGTGTGTGTGTGTGTGTGTGTTTATGAGTGCAGGTGCATTTGAAGTTCAGAGGAGGTTGTCAGATCCCCTGGATCCACAGTTATAGATGACTGTTAGTCATCTGGTATGGGTACTGAGCCCTCTGGAATGACATCAAGTGCTCTTAACCACTGATACCTATATTTTATATCTGAATTTCTAAAACCAAAATAAATTGTTTTTTTCTGTTTTTATATATTAACTGAGCCCAGTAAATTAGATTATTGTTTCTCAAGCTAAATTGATTTTCCATAATAGGGGTACCTAAAGATTTGTATCAACTCTTCTATATTAAAGTGCCTATCTCCTTCATCTTCTGTCTTTACTCATACTACACATAGCACACTTTCAATTATTCTAATATCTCCACTGTTCTTTAACATAATATTTTCATTTATACCCAGAGAAAGAAGGAAAGTAAAAATAATAAATAAATATAGATAAACAAATTCAAAACAAGAAATAAAAAGTCAAATAATCCCAAATGATATGATATATACTTAAAAGACCCTGAATAGTCCACCAGAAAGCTCAGCCTGATAAACAGTCAGCAGTATAGCAGAACACAAAATTATGGCTGACCCCAAAACATAGCTTCTACATCAAATGGGATAAAAGATAGTTTATTCTGGACCCAAATATAAGTGAATACAGCCTGGAAGCAGTGATTTAGGTCACCCCAAATTCCATGTTTCAACATGGGAACAGTTTCCTGAAGTTTTTATAGTAGCAGAACAAAGAAAGGGATAATAGTGTAGGAGCTAGATACAGGAGAAGCTTTACCCAGGTAAGATAGGGCCATAGTACACATGGTCTCACAGCAGCTTCAATTAGCTTCACAGGACCTGCATGAAGCTGGGCTAGTCAACATTAAGCCGTGGATGGAAGGGGGATTTAGGCAGCCCAGTTCCTCCCCCAGAGAGTTATTGACAGTGGATAGTTTCTGAAGTACAAGTAATAACTGTCTTCCGTGATGCAACCTGTAGTTAGACACCCGTGTTCCAGTATGTAGCACCACTCCCTGCCCATGCAGCCGCCTGGTGAAACTTAGTAGGACACAAAACAAAAACAAAAACTCATGATAAAAAACATTCATGATAGTGGGAGTGGGACTTTGGGGAGGAGGGTGAGCTTGGTGGAAGAGGAGGTAAGTGAGAGTAGGTTAATGTGACCAAAATGTATTGTATACATGAATTAAATTGTTAAAAAATGAATAAATTGTAAAATTAAAGTAGTAAGAAGAAAAAGAGATCTAATGGCAAATGGAAGGATGTCAGCAGGAATGGAAGAAGGGAAGAAAAGACAGTAATTGGGATGAATATTTTCAAAGTATTACCAAAATATGCTAGCTTAAAGACTGTAGCACAGTGTTCTTTTAAATGGAAATGCAAGGGCTGTAGAGATGCTCAGAAAATAAGAGCATTGACTACTCTTGCGAAGGATATGGATTATGTCCCAGTACCCACATGGCTGATAACAACTGTCCATAATAATTCTAGGGGATCTGGTGCAGGCTTTTGGTCTCCATGGGTATTGTATACATGTAGTACACTTATATGTACACAGCCCAAGCACTCATACACATGACATAAAAATAAATAAATAAAATCTAAAAAACAATAGTTTAATTAAACAATAGTTAAAACTATTAAACAATAGTTTAATATGTCCCATATAAAATAAAATGGTCAATATATTGTATGATTCAAAAAAAGAAACAAAGATCTCCTACCAACACTGCTGAATGAAGCCTTTGTTAAAGAGCCTCAGCTATGGAAGATGTTGGGAAAAAGCAAGCTAAGAAAGGAAACATGACTATTCACAGCTAAAAGTGACAAAATAGCACAACTCCATTAGCAGACCTAAGTTAAACCACTTTTAGTTACTATGACAGTAAATTATTGAAGAAAATAAATGTGATTGTGGAAGAATCCACTTCTTTTTTTACTACTTAAATTTTTATTGATTATTCTGCATTTCATACAATATATCTTGATAATATTTGGACATGCTCCCCTATCTGCACCCCCCATAGACCCCTCCCACCAGATTTCATGTATTCTGTTATATATGCTAAGGCTCACAGAGTCAAGTTTCTGTTCCAAGCTGTCCCACAGTGTGAGTTCATCCACTGGAGCCTGTTCAGCCTATCTCGCATCACTCTATTAAAAAAGACCAACTTTCCCTCACCCAGTAGTGACTGACTGCCAGTATTTCCTTGACTAAAGTTGGGGCCTCCTTCCCATGTCTCCAGTTCTATACTGGATTTTTGTTTGATTGAGTTTGCATGGGTTTTGTGAATGCTGTCACCATTGCTGTAAATTATCCGAGCAAGTTCCCAGAACCCTGGGAAATTCTCTTTCCTTGTGGTCACCTACCACCCCTTGCTCTTACAGTCTTTCTGTCCCTTCTTCTTCAATGGTCCTGGAGCCCTGGGTGACAGAGCTTTGACATAGGAGTCCTATCCAGGAACAAGCAATCTACAGTCTCTTTTTAAAAAAATAATTTATTTAGAATTTCATACATGCATATAGGGTGGTTTGATCCAATAAATGCCCACACTCAGCTCCAAATCCTCCCATATCTCCTCATCTCTTTTTTCTGATAACTTCATGTACTCTTTCTTCTTCTTTAATACTTTTATTTTTATGTGCCTTTTGACTACTTGGTAATATTCTGCCCTCAGAAGAGGTAAAACTCTAAAATCTTTTAAG